GTTTGGGTGACATTTCTGTGAAGGAGCTATTGAAGTGTACATTTTACACTGCTGTTTGTTTTTAATTTTCAGAAAATGCCCTGGTGCTTAAAATTCAGAACTACTTTGATGCTTGGCAAGCACTCTTATTGAAACCTGACATCTTCTTTAAGATTTCGTGGCTGTACAAGAAATACGAAAAGTCAGCGTAAGTATCAATGGTTTTACAAATAATCTGAGTAAGATAAATCCGTCCTTCCTGCAGTCACTCTTGCATGTCAGTTAGCTCTCTGCATTTTAAAAATGAATGAAGCGTTTCTGAAATGGATGGGCTGAGAGCCCTAGAGACCAAACTCACCTATATTCTGTGGCTAGTAATGTGCAGGAGGTCAGACTAAATGATCAAGATAGTGCCTTCTAGATTTAAAGTCTCTGTGCTTCAGGCCTGTTGTGTGGTGCCTGGTCACTCATCTAGAAGGTCATTCTGACTGTTTGCCAATTCAGTCCTGGTTTCTCTGCTGAGACACACTAGTGCTAATTGACCGAGGTATACAACTGAAAATCACCAGTTCACTTCACACAGGCAATGAAATGCCATCTTACAGTATCCACTTCCACTGAGTGGCCAACCAACCAGCACTCCAGTAGTAATCTAGGAGACGGGTAATTCCTTGAGTCAGTAAGTCCTTTTTATACTCGTGGAAATATAAATATAAAATGACAAGCAGTCCTGTGGCACTTTAGGGACTAACACATTTATTAGGTCATGAGCTTTTGTGGGTAAAGCTCATGACCTAATACATTTGTTACAGGTTGGACCTCCCTGGTCCAGCACCCTTGGGACTTGATCAGTCCCAGATGAGGGATTTTACTGGACCAGGGAAGATCATATCTGCCTTCCCTCCCCCTCCTTGCTCCTCCACCCCCCGCTACCATCCCTCCCAGCCCTGGGCCTGCCACAGGCCCTGCTGGTCCCCATCCCTCCTTGCCTGCCACACTGAGCAACCCCAGCCTGGCTGGAGTGCTCTGGGCCTCGTCGAGGCTCCTGGCTCTGCCCGGCATGCCTGCTGAGCAGCCCTGAGACTGCGCACCAGGCTCACAGGCCCCAGGCAGCTCAGCAGGGGCGTGCTGCTGTGGTCTCTTGGCCCTGCTGAGCAGCCCCTTGCTGTCACCAGCCTGCAGTCCTGCTGGCCCGCACAGCTTCTAAATACCAGTACTCCACAGGGACTCTCTGGTCCTGGATCATCCATGGTCATCCTGGACCACAGATATTGCCAGACAAGAGAGTACTCATTTACGGAGGTTCAACCTGTAGTCTCTAAGGTGCCACAGGACTGCTCATTGTGTTCTAAGTTACAGACTTACACAGCTAACTCTTTGAGACCTTTTTTCCATGGAACTATAGTGAATGTTGTTAGCATGTCAGTATAATCCTGCTTGTTGGTGCTTGTATCTTTGTCAAAACTCTTCAATTCAGGTTTAAACAAAGCATTTATCATGCTGTTTCTCATCTCGGATGGATCAAACACTAAAAACAACCAAAATATTTTCCACTGAGTTTTCTTGCTTTCCTTTGTTTTCTCTACTAAAAGATGATGGATTATAAAACAAACTTCATCCTTATCTGTACTGGTGTCCTTGACTAGTCTAATAAAACACTTATTTTCAAGCATGCATAATAAGAACTTTTCATACTATTATGTCACAAAGTACTTATGCAAAAGCGACGAGGAGTCCTGTGGCACCTTATAGACTAACTGAAGTGTAGGAGCATAAGCTTTCGTGGGCCAAGACCCACTTCGTCAGATGCATGTAGTGGAAATTTCCAGAGGCAGGAATAAATATGCAGGCCAGGATCAGGCTGGAGATGACCAGGTGGATCCAATCAAGGAGGATGAGGCCCACTTCTAGCAGCTGATCTGGAGGTGTGAATTCAAAGAGAATAGAAGCTGCTTTTGTAGTTAGCAAGCCATTCACAGTCTTTGTTTAATCCAGAGTTGATTGTGTCAAACTTAAAGATGAACTGTAGCTCAGCAGTTTCTCTTTGAAGTCTGGTCCTGAAGTTTTTTTGCTGCAGGATAGCTACTTTTAGATCTGCAATTGTGTGTCCAGGAAGATTGAAGTGTTCCCCTACAGGTTTTTGTATGTTGCCATTCCTAATATCAGATTTGTGTCCATTGATTCTTTTACGTAGGGACTGTCCTGTTTGGCCGATGTATATAGCAGTGGGGCATTGTTGGCACATGATGGCATATATTACGTTGGTGGATGTGCAGGAGAATGTACCAGTGACAGTATGGCTGATCTGGTTAGGTCCTGTGATGGTATTGCTGGTGTATATATGTGGGCAGAGTTGGCACCGAGGTTTGTTGCAAGGATTGGTTCCTGAGTTCGAGTTATTATGGTGCGGTGTGTAGTTGCTGGTGAGAATATGCTTCAGGTTGGCGGGTTGTCTGTGGGCAAGGACCGGCCTACCTCCCAAGGCCTGTGAGAGCGAGGGATCATTGTCCAGGATGGGCTGAAGATCACTAATGATGCGTTGGAGAGGTTTTAGCTGGGGACTGTAGGTGATGGCCAGTGGTGTTCTGTTGGTTTCTTTCTTGATCTACCCTGGTGGAAATCCTGTGCCCAGGGAAATCAATGGCAAAATTCACATAGAAAGTGAAATCTTGTCTCCAGTCAATCTCGAAAGTGCCAACATTAGTCACTACACAATAGTATGTATGATATCAGAGATGTACTTAATATGCCTGGTGAGCCATGACCATTTTATTGCCCATCCCTGTCTTAGAGAGATAACTGTCGGGGACTTGGAAACCATTAGCTATCAAATATAGGTAAATATTGAATTTTTAATGGCCACTATTTCCTACTGTGAATGTGACATTGCTGAACATAAAGTGAACTGAATTACAAAAATGTGGAATATCATGTTTTCCCATAGGTTTCTAATTCAATTCAAATTTTAATCAATGCACAATGGTTGTTATTACTATGGTTCTACCGCTATATATAAAACAACTGTGCCTTTTTGAGGAGTACCCTGGTCACAAAGGGTATGTCTATACTTGCACCCTAGTTTGAACTAGGGATGCAAATGCAGGCAAATGCAGGCATTCGAAATAGTCAATGAAGCGGGGATTTAAATATCCCGCGCTTCATTAGCATGATCTCGCCGGCGCATTACTCTGAATGCCAGCTGTTTCAAAAGTGAAAGTGCATGCCAGGACGCATTAGTTCGAACCAAACCCTTTGGTTCACTTTTGAAACAGCTGGCATTTGGAGTAACGAGCTGGCGAGATCATGCTAATGAAGCACGGGATATTTAAATCCCCACTTCACTGACTATTTCAAATGCCTGCATTTGCATCCCTAGTTCGAATGAGGGTGCAAGTGTAGACATACCCTAAAGAATGCAGTCAACTCTCACTATGGTAAACACCAAATATAGTGCTGACAAAACACATACATAATAGAAACTGTAAAGGTAATGATTATTATCATCATTATTTTTACTGAGCATATCCTAAATATTTCAGAAAATTTCAAAAATCTAAGAATTGCAACATACAGCCAGTTAAAACCCACAAAATAAATTACATTGCTGACTTTCTTTTAGTTGTTTATTGCTGAAAACCCACAACATTTTGAAAAAACAATTAAATTTGGTGAATTTTGAGCAGCTCTACCACATTTAGGCCATTACCGCTAAATTTCTAACCCTAACCAGCATTCAACCTTTGCAAAATGTGTTATCATGGTCCAATGATGAAAACAATATGGTAAAGCCATAGAAGAAATCCACCAAAACATTGGGAAATGTCAGTAGTAACTTCCCAAATAATGTTTAGTCACTCATATAAGGAACAGAGCTTTTTCATCTCCTGAATGGTGTGAGCAATAAATGTAGAACAAATAAAAGATAATATTACTTCTTTAGTATGTAGTCAAGCTGTAAAATTCCTTGCTACGTTTATATCAAATTTAATAATTATCATGAATTTTTTCCCTCTCTTACATAAAGCATTTTACAGTGGGCTACCTGTTTTGTGGATTTGCCCACCTTCCTCTGGATCAGCCTGTTTTGGAAACTGCTAGTGGCATATTGCCTTACTTGATGGACCAATCGGTTCAGGCAGCACAAAACTATGTTCTTTCAGTATAAGAACAGTAGTCACTTTTCATTTTTCTAGATGCAATCTGCCTTGTTTTACTACTTCACTACAAAACTATTTGCAAACAAATTGTCTGTTTTATTGTTAAATTTATTGTCCAAGATAGCCTTAAATGTCCCATCCTGCTTTACTAAAATATCAGACTCTTATAGATATTCTGGGTTCCATCTGCTTTCAGAAAGGATTTGAAAGATGCAATCGAAATCTTAATAGAACAGAAAAGACAGAGACTTTCCACTGCTGAAAAACTGAAAGAGCCCATGGACTTTGCATCACAACTGATTTTTGCACAGGTAATGAGATTATCAGCAAAATATGGATTTGTCCAAAATGCCAATGTCACTGAGAACAAAATAGGACTTGTAACAGAGTTTGACTCAACCTGCACAGTAGAAAGTAATGCCATTTGAAACTAATGCAAAATAAGAGTGTTTGGAGCACCTCAATAAGGTTCCAGGCTTTGAATAACTGCATCCAAATGCTTGGTTGCTTGTCTGACCCTTTTCAGGTTATATCCACATGCCCAAGACTCTAAAGCTCATGCCCACATCCCCTCCAGTCTCTCTTTGACCCCTGTATTTTCCATTTATATAAATACCTTTTATTCTAAAGGAATATCCAAGGGCTTCAGAAATCAGAGTCATGTAGAATGACTGAACAGCAGGGCTGACAGCCTCACCAGCCCACAGGCAAAGGGATGGGGCTGGGTTAGCCAGCCCTTAGCACCACACAGAAAGCATTGCAGTGCCCTCTCCACAGCCCTTAGTGCTGCCTGGAGCTCTGGCAGTGATTTAAGAGGTCCGGGGCTCCAGCTGCCACCACTGCCACAGTAGCAGCAGTTGCTAGGTGCTCCGGGCCCTTATGTATTGCTGGGACCCAGCATAGTTGTCCCCTTTGCTCCCTCTGTCAGCAGGCCTGTGTCTGGCAATCAAGTACGCTCTGAGGGTATGTCTACACTGCCACCCTAGTTCGAACTAGGGTGGCAGTGTAGACATACCCTCAGAGCGTACTTGATTGCCAGACACAGGCCTGCTGACAGAGGGAGCAAAGGGGACAACTATGCTGGGTCCCAGCAATACAAAAGGGCCCGGAGCACCTAGCAACTGCTGCTAGTAGCATGGGCTACGCAGTTTGAATTAAAGCTCCTAATTCGAACTAACATTACTCTTCCTCCTTAGGAGCTTTAATTCAAACTGCCTAGCCCATGCCGCATGTAGCCACAGGCAGAGAGTTCAAACTATCGGGCATTTAAAAATGGCGGTGCCTGGGAACATGCAAATAAAGCCCAGGATATTTTAATCCCAGGCTTCATTTGCAAGTTCGAATGACTACATTAGCCACCCTAGTTCGAACTAGGGTGGCAGTGTAGACATACCCTGATGGAGCACAGCAAGTGAATGGTGCACAGCGTGCTGCAGCACAGTAAGTGGAAGAGGAATTTGGGTTAAGCACAAACCACTACATAGCTTAAAAAATGTTATAGAATCATATGCACCATGTAAAACATTGGTTTTCAGTGCTTCATCGGAGAGACTCGGTAAATGGATGTTACTTATCTATCCCACTTGTATAAAGAACTATGTAAACATTTATAGGATTTGAACCAGTTGTTTCAACTGAGTCTACATATTCTACATTCTTCCCTTCCTGTTGATCCAAGGACTTTTGCAGAAGTGCAAATTCAACATTTGCCTCTTAAATTTTGTAGAGCCGTGGAGATATGACTGGTGACAATGTGAACCAGTGTGTGTTGGAGATGATGATAGCTGCACCTGACACTCTGTCTGTGACTCTCTTCTTCATGCTAGTACTGATTGCAGAGCACCCTGAGGTGGAAGAGGAAATGATGAAGGAAATCGAAGCTGTTATAGGTAAGGGCTGACTATAAAGTCAATGATGTTGGAAGACCATTATGCTTCAGTAATCATATAATTATTTTCAGGGAGAAAAATCTAAAGTTTTGCAAAATTATCTTGCTGCATCATATTGTAAGAAAAAAGATCTTCTTAAGGAGCATTCAAAACTGAATGGAAAATGATAAAAGGTACACGATTACTGAGGAAGTAAATTAGGATCATAAGCAAATCTGCTAGAATGATGAGGCCAAATTCAGCCCTTAGCCATTACAGTGAAAACCTGTTGTCACTTCCCTGACCTCAGTGGGATTACTCTGGATTTATACAGGTGTAACTGATAGTAGAAGTTCAACCCTATCAACTTAGGACTGGGTAAAGATCCTAAATGTTTAAGGCACTACAAAAACAATTTCCCTGGCTTTGATATTCACATTTCCACATCAAATGCCATGAATGAACTACATCAAGCCAGATTTAATTAGCTTCATTAACAATTATCCTACAGTTGTCCTAATTAACAATTAACAGTTCTACAATTGACAGGAAACTTCTTTTGCTGTTATATATACTGTGGATTCTGTAATTTCCACTCCAACTCATCTGATGAAGTGGGTTTTTCCCTCTAAAGCTCATGACCTAATACATTTGTTAGTCTCTAAGGTGCCACAGGACTGTTAGTTGTTTTTAAAGTTACAGACTAATATGGCTATCCCTCTGACACTTGATAGCAGAAGTGGATTTTAGCCCTCATCTTGAACTATGAAATTAGGTATGATACCACCAGTTGAGCTGAGCTGACAACTATTCATATCTTATTAAATATTTTCATCCCTCTATATCTACTATGGTAGGTAGAAAGCTGTTTTAAAATATTATATTCTCTCTGGGAAATTTGAAATTAAGAAATATAGCATGTGAATATTTTCTGCATATTGGTCAAACCTTACAAGTAATCAAAAATATTTGGAAAAAGGAGTTAAACTTAGAATTTGCAAATTGATCTACTAGTGATGAACTTAATCTTTTGTTTTATTTTGGATATGCTATATCATTAAAATATATTATATGACAATACCAAAGGATTCACCACCTGCACTGTGGAAGTCCCTCTCCAAGGTACTGGTGAAGCCACATATCTAATACTGAAATGAGGCCCCAGTTCTGGAAAACATCCCTCTTTAGAGACTACTTTAGCAAGTGCTTAACTTCAGTCCTATTCTTAAATGCCTAAGAAGTTAATGGGAAATAAGCATGTGCCTAAATACTTACTTAAATACATATGAATTTAAACATACACTCAAAGTGTTTTTCTGGTTTGAGCACTTCAGTAGTAGGGATGTAAAATATCATTTAATTGAATACTCAAATAACTTCAGAAATTCTTAACAGTTGCTTGACTATTCTATAGTCCCCAGGTAACCAATGTGCTCTGGCCCCTCTCCTGAGGAGCCTCCTGCCATTCTGCACTGCTGCCTCTGTATCAGAGGCAGCAGCGTGGGGGGCCAGGCAGGAGCTGGTCCATGAATGAAGCCAGTTTTAAAACCAGCTCCCTCGTGGACCAGCTGCCTGTCTCCCCGTCCGCCTGCCTCTGATACAGAGGCAGCAGTGCAGGGTGGTAGCAGCCCCTGTTTGGGGGTGGTCTGAGCTCCCAGACCCAGCACGAGCTGGGACTGAGTGGGGCTGCCTGCCCTCCCAGCTCCTAATACACTTTAAATGCAGAGCTGCAGCAGAGGTAGATCCTGGACCTGGCACAAGCTGGGACTGAGCTGGACTGCTGGCCAGCCTGTTAAAAAATGTACTGATCTGAGGAAGTGGGTCTGGCCCACGAAAGCTCATCAGCTAATAAACCATCTTGTTAGTCTTTAAAGTGCTACATTGTCCTGTATTTTGCTTTGGCAGGAGTGTGTATGTGTGGGGGGTGGGGGAGAGAAATGCACACAGCCTATAGCATTAACCTATAAGCTTTTGCTTATCAGTTAATCATTTAATCATCTACACTATTACATCCCTACTCAGTAGTAGAAAGTTGTAGACCAACTGGGAGTTGAGACCCAATCAACCAAAATGGTCAAATGGCTGAAAAGGTAGAGGATTTTTTAAAATCTAGTCCATATTCTGGTCCTCTCTGTGGGTGCTAATGAATGGAAGCCCCTCAATTTCTAGACTTCCTTTTCTTTAATTTCTCCCCCCAGTTTGAACAATGTAGATATTTGTTGCATTCACTCCCATCCACCTTTATTTTGGTTCATTACATTGCTTTTAAATCAAGTCTCACATCTGAACTAGGTAACATTTGTTCAAAACTATTTTGAGACTCTTTTCAATGTTGTTCCAGAGCTTTAGCTAAACAGCACCTGTCACCTTTCTTGCCTCTAGCTAGCAAGCTGTATCTCTCTTCTCTTTCTTTATGAGAATGTGTCTGTTTTTCTAATTGGCCAGGAGCTTGGATAACCCAAGTGAATGCAGCAAACTCTGGACTTGTGTGTTAAAGTCAGCACATTGATATCAAAGTGTTGAATCCCAGGGGCCATGCAAGAATAACAGTTCTCATTAATACATAGCTAAAAGGCCTCTTTTCACAACTATACATGGCTTCTTAGAAGCAATCAGCTGTAATTTAATGCCAAATGTCAGCGTCATATCTATCAACTACAAAATGCCTCAGCAAAACGTACAAGTGCCACAATGTATCAGACTGCTGAATTTGCTAAAGCAAATTGTCTCTCATAATCTCATACACATCAGTGCTTTCTCCAGTCAGTGCTGTGTACCTTGGCGAGATGGTTAAGTTTTATTATTCTTTTACTAATACAGAGTTTTCTCCCATATTAAAATGTAACCACTGTTGCCTTAGGGTTCAGTTTTTCAAAAAGACCTGTTATTTTAAAGGCAGTCTCATTTGTGAGAGAAGGAAGAGTCAAGGCAGCAGGGAAGCGTTCAGAAATAATTGTTTCCTTTGTACAACTGACCAAAAGTTTACTTCTCCAAAAGTTTAGTTTTCAAACAGTTCCTGTTAATTGCCAGGAATTCAAAAAATTCCATGACTGTTTTCAAACCATTCTGTTAAAGTTAACTGAAGAGGATACAGAACTGTAATGGAAGAGCGCAAATAGGTTCAACAGTTATCTAATGTCTAAAAAAAATGTTTAATATAAGATAGCTGTAAAATCTGAGCTAGATTCACTATTCTCTGTGCTGAGGGATTACAAGTAGAGAAGGGAGGAGAAGGTTATTCCAATTTTGTGGGGGTTAAGAGAGCTTTTCAAGTCTGGCTTTGTTACTAATCAGAATAAAACCCAATTTTTAAAAAAATTTCCATGAAATGTTCTGCCCATCTGTGCAGGAAGTCCTCAGTCTAAGACAGTCAGCCAGGAGGCCTGCGTCAGGGCAGAGCAACTAGGAGTTGGGGCTGTCAAGGAATTGAAATACTGGGAATCAAGGATTGCAGGCTCTTGGATGAGCTGTCAAGGAACTGGGAGCCTAGAAGCCCAGATTCCCAAGGAGCCAGACATATGAGCTTGTAGGAAACCAGGAAGGTTTTAGATGGAAATCTGCCTAGAAGGCATGTTTTGAAACCCTTGGCACATGAACTTCCACTGGAAACCTGCCTGGTGATTTCTAGTGGAGTTTCATTTTAATCAACCCATCACCATTTTGTTTCATCACAATTTGCTAATTCATCAAGGTTTTGGTCTTTTTTTTTCTGACCAGCCATAGTTGGGATCCCTCAGGTGTGTGGTAGGATCTCATAAATTACACTTACATGGTCTTCATCACTGTAAGATAGAGAGAATGATAAGGCAATCTAAGAGCAGATGGACTAGAAGTGGGTATGGTACCTCTTATGAAACTCCTGCTTCCTGGCAGGAATTAAAGTCCTGATCCAATTTCTATGTAAATAAATGAATGTTATTCCATTGACTCTAAGGGGAGTTGAACCAAGGCTCATCTACATGGGGCAGCAATGTCTGGTAGCTTGAAAGCCTTTAAATAGTACTAGGTTAAAGTCTACTAGTGAACGTCTAGAGTATCCCAGCAGCATCTGTAAGGACCAATTAGTGCCCAACATGTTAGTGCACTTTCAAAATCACACCTCTGTAGTGCATGCTGTCTTACTGTTCAGAGAATCCTTCAGGCCTTAGGCCTGTTTCCTGCCTTCCCCCTGATTAGTGTGACCCCCTCAGAAAGGAAGACAGTGGAAATGCCAGTTGTCTTCCTTGTGTATGTATCCCTGTCTTTCAGCAAAGGGCCTTACTGGTGCACTGGAAGTGTAATGTACATGGGTATCTTGTGTTACATGTCAAATAATCTGTCTATTTATCTTAATAATCTATGGGATATTAAAGCATTTTCATACAGAGTCCTGATCCTGCTCTGCTGAACTCAAACAGTTTTCTATTGTCTGCAATAGCAGCAGGATTTGTGGAAGAGAAGAGATTTAGATTTGGGACAGATCCTTTGATGCTTGATTCGCATTAATGTGGGTCAACAGTATGTTTGGCTTCTGAAGTATATGAGGCTACATGTATCATGAAAGGAGACAACATTTTTACTGAATGGAGCAGGGGTGAGCAATAATTTTTGATGGGGGGCACTCAAAGAATTTGGTAAGTGGTCAAGGGCTGGCAGCCAGCTTTTCTTAGTGCCCAGCAGGGTTGAGGCAGGCAGGGAGCCTGCTGAGGCTTCTGCGAGCCAGACCTGGTGGTTTGGCAGGCCAAATCCAGCCTGTGGACCATATTTTGGCCAGCCCTGGCAATAGAGGGACTTCCAAAACCCAAACCATTTTGGCATCAAGTCCAACATTTCAAATAGCATTCAGATAAAATCAGAATAGCAAAATCAACTTCTTTTGCCTGCTTTATTCCTCAAGGTGACAGAGACATACAGAGCAGTGACATGCCGAACTTAAAGGTTGTGGAGAATTTTATTTATGAAAGTATGAGATACCAGCCAGTTGTGGATCTGGTCATGCGCAAGGCTTTACAAGACGATGTAATTGATGGATATCTTGTGAAAAAGGGGACGAATATCATTCTGAACATCGGACGTATGCATAAGCTTGACTTCTTCCCAAAGCCTAATGAGTTTTCTCTCAAAAATTTTGAGAAGAAAGTAAGTTTTCTTCATTGTTTCTGATAGGGGATAGAGTATTACTTCTAATTAAAATGCAAAATGGGTCTTCCTCTTATTTAGATTAAGTCTTTTCTACTCACAATCAGTTTCTCATTGTCTACATTAGCATCTGGATACACATGAGATTTCATAGCACATTATAATGATTCTCATAGGCTTAACCACGCATGTAGCTGAGCAATATGGCACCGCTCCAGCAAGTACAGTTTTAAGTACAGTTTAAGTATAAGCATCTTGCAGGATTGGGCCCAATGTCCAAAGCAATGTATGAACAGCAAAACTTATTTGCAACATCTTTTACTATTATGGGGTCTTCCTTGGGCTTTTTGTCTTCTCCCATTCAGAATTTTGGCTTGTCATTAGTTACATGGCTGCTTTACATTGTCAGAATTTAGATTATCCATCAAGAGCTGTAAGAGGTGGCGTTGTATTACTTATAACACAAATTATTTGGTTCCTCCACTTTTGATCAAATTAAGTAGAAGTAAGCAGCTGGCACTGTGATGCATTCAATAGTAAAAGCACATAGACTGTGAAATGTTAAGATCAGTTTAGCACTTCTCAGGGGGCACTTAGGTCTGAAACAAGTGTTGAATTCTTTAACTTCAAGAGGTAGGAGGCCCAAAAGCTTTGCAACTCTGATGGGCTTGCTACAGGTACATCCCCATCCTGATCACATAGGGCAAGCTTCCTTTCACTGATCTTGTGGGTTTTCCCACTATGCAAATTTCCTCATGCTTGCTCTACTAACCTGCCATATACTAAAGTTTGAGAGTAACATTAGTATTAATGTTTCCCCAGAATTTTAAAAGCTCCTGTTGTATACTCAGTGTGTTGGTACTGTTTTGTTACCTATTAAAATCGTTTATTAGCTCTTGGCAAATACCCCCCAAACATCCACACATTATATGCAAATGAAAAAAGTGAACAGAAGAATGAATTTTGAAATGCATTTTGTGCTAATTTTTAGTGAATATTTTAGGAAATGTGTTTACTGGTGGGTATTTTTGCAGAAACATTTAAGAAACTATAAGGGGATATTTGCCATAAATTAATATTGAGCTCACAAATGTGAAGATTCAAGTCAGAAAAGAGATACTATGGTTTCCGTTCATCCAGTCAGAGAATAAACAGTATCATGTACTCTATCTAACCAATCAAAGCTAACCAACAAGGTGAATATTTTCATGCTGAAAGTCAATTACCAACAATGAACTTTGAACACAATCTTCATCCCAACAACTAATCATTGTGGAAAATTCACAAAGTGAAAAGTTGGCTAAATTTATCAAAATAATTACTCGTTCTAAGTTATTTCATCAATTTTACCCATTATTTCCATTTTAGGCTTTTCTCTCTGTGGATTTCTTGATTGCTTTCTAAATTAATTTTGCTGCTAAAAATATTCCCTTTTGACCAAGAACTTAAAACACACACATTTTCTTTGGATTCATAACTAATGTAATGTGAGCAATACAATCTGACTTAATGCCTTCTGTTTGCCACATAACACACGCTGTTCTAAATGAATAGCAACCCACACCAATCAATAAGCTATCTGCTGAAATCATGATATCATTGGAATCCAAATACATATTTCCAGTTTCTTAGACCTCCTCCTGACCTCATTCATGCTCCATTCAAGACCACTGGTGGGCAGAATTTGCCTGCTTGATTTTTTTTAAAGAAAAGGATAAAAAAAATACAAATAAATTGATGTTAAGGCCAAAGAGTCTGAATGTGAGAAAATGCTTCATTGAAAGAGTCTGTCTAAAGATTTCCTCACAAAAATGCTTAGCGATTTTAATGATATTCTTAATAATTCAATGGAAATTGTTCTACTTGCTTTAAAACTTGCCTTTTTCATTGTTTCACACAGGTCCCTTCTCGCTACTTTCAGCCCTTTGGATTTGGCCCTCGTAGCTGCGTAGGAAAGTTTATTGCCATGGTAATGATGAAGGCAATCCTGGTGACTTTTCTGCAACGGCATAGAGTGCAGACAACAAAAGGAAGAGGCCTTAACAACATCCAGAAAATCAACGACTTATCCATGCACCCGAAGGAAAGACAGCCCTTACTGGAGATGTTTTTCATGCCAAGAAACACAGACAAGCATCAGGATGATTAACATCAGACCACTAATGGTCTCAGAAATCTAAGGTTTCTGCTGTTTTAATCAAATTCTGAGAAGTGTCCACCCCTCCTACATGCAGTCATGCATATTCTGACCTAAACATTTTATTGCTTCTAATGCATTGGTGCTCTAGGTGTTCACTTGTGCTGCTGCACAGTGGAATCAGGCTCTGAGCGCTCTTCAAAACTGATAAATAAGTCCAGGTATATAGAAAAGCGCTGTCTTCAGTTGATGAAATGTTGCATGCAGAAACTGACATTACTTTTAAAAAAACCATCCAATTCAAGCCAAATTCTATTCTGCTTCTGAACACTGTGCAAGTCCTGAGTGCTACATGCCTACAGCCCTATGTGGTTGGGGTTTACTTTGAGGGGGTTTTGGTTTTTTTTGTCACAGCTGGTCCCCGCAGGAAGCACCATCAGCTATTATTATAATAGCTCTAAAAACATTGGTCGTCAAAAACATGAATAAATACCGCTAATGTTCATTTAAAGTATGAGAAACACCATGAAATGGATGAACTGTATCTATCTATAGCAATGACTAAATTCCTGGAAAGTATTTAGGATATAGCCAGTTCACCAATATAATGTTTACACAATGAGAACTTTGAAACAATTTTTTCTCTAAAGTGTTTTTCATTCTGGTATATCAAACAGATAAGATAAAAAAATTATTAGGTTAGTTACATTTTATGGATTATATTATATTCCAAAGGTATCAAGAAATAGCTTAGCATTTGAGATAACTGCAAGAGGTTTCTGTTCCCGAGTTCTAGTCACAGAATCCCCATCCGTGTCTTCACTACCTCACACCATTATTTCCCAGCCATGACTCAGAAGTATGGAGCTCTGCCCAACCTCATGTGCTAGCTTGCTCACATCTCCCTGCTTAGGGAGTAGTTGTCCTTCCTCCTCAGTTGTAGTAATGAAAACATATCTTCACGTATCCTCCTATTTCAATGGTTGTTTATTATGCTCATGACCACGGCATCTAAGCTGCCTCATCATAGGTGAGAACCCCATCTAATCTAACCACAGCTTTCCCCTGCTGTGAAATTCCATTTTAAAGGATAACATTTTGGTTCTCCCCCTTCCCCCCAAAGAGGCCACAGCAGGAAGGAGAATCCCTTCCAAAATATGCATGCAATGCTCATCACTTCTCTTTCAAGACAATGGGCCAAATGCTGCTCTCAGGTGCATGGGTGCTCTCCCATTGGCTTCAATAGGGCTATACTAGTGTAAATGAGAACAGAAGTTGGCTCCAGATGTGGCTGCTTCTGACTCTTGATGACAAATGGACTCATTTATCTACTTCAGGGCAGGTATGTGGCTCAGGGATTGTCTGGTCACAGGTTTACTGCCTTGCTCAGGAAACATCCTGCAACAGTAAGCATAAATGGATAGAACATTGTAAAGGGGGTTTTCAGTGCTCAGGATTAGCTTAGAGAATGGGTCTAAAAGCAGTTTTTGACTTTCCAGAAATCGGACATGTGGAA